CTTTAATATTCACTTTATTTGTTTACCATAGCGACAGTCTGGTCCTAAGTTCACTTAACAGCGTTAAATTTCATTCATTTTTTAACTCAAAATGCACAAAATTTATATGATCTTAAGAATTACCTAATCGTTGTTACATATTATATTCAAATGCTATAATAAATCTAAAACGATGTATAAAAGAAATTAAGCAAATAACAACAACAAAAAAGAAAGAGTTTTTCACAGACGATTCAGTATTTCTCATTCAATTAATTCAGTTTCACTTCGCGACAAGCCAAAAATACATAAAAACTCAAAATATCTATATTGAAAATTATGAAGTAAATCTTAAACACTTATTTCCTCGAATGGATTAAGCATGCTTTAATTTGCGATAATAAAAGAAGGCGTTATATTTGTTTTTGCGAAGCTTACTTTCTCTAGATTGGCAACAAATCTACTATTCTGCTGTTTCAAATGTAAACAAACATTGCCGCCATTGAAAAAATAATTGGGCTTAGCGGCACTTAAAGAACTTTTAAATTTTAATAATTCTAAAAATATTGCATACAGATTTACTAAAGGCAAAAAAAAAAAAAAAAAAAAAAAAAAAAAAAAAAAAACTTAACCGAAGATAAGAACAACATAATTCAATCATTCTAAAGCAAAAAGTGCACAATTTACAAACATATAAGAATAAAGAAACTGAGATTACTGAGCCGAGTAACATATATACATATATTTATATACTTTTGGTACTGCCGATTGCAACCAAAATACGAGAATCTACATGCTAATAGCAATCCTACATACAAAATTTCAATGTTCTGAGGCTACTCGTTTTTGAGCTCTGCGAGATACGTACGTACGCACAGACGCCATGAAAATTTCTTTTCAGAATTCGTTTTAAATCAATTTTATAATTTTTTGGGGGGAAAATGAGTCCTTTATTCTGTCCTTACGTACGGATGTCACGCAAAAATATCGTTAAATTGCATTCAATAGCGGTCAAAATGAATATTTTCGTTGAAATATAATGCCTATAAATATAAAGTTTTTCGCGATTATAATACTTCCTCTTTACTTCGTACAAGGAAGTAAAAATGAGTAAACGAAAGCTGTAAAATATCTGTTAATGGGCGATATTACAAAATGTTAAATAATAACATAAGATAAAAAAATGCTTGCAAAGGATTCTAAAAATACTTTTTGGTATAAAAAAAGATAAATTTAATCTAAGTTATTTTTAATTAAATGTAATTCAAAAGTAAAAATTGAATACAATTATAAATGCGTTTTGCATTACAAATACTCTATGCTAAAATGTAGTAATATTTAATAAAACAAATAATGAATATACATACCAAAAATCACGCAATTATGTCAGCAAAAAAAATAGTTATCTTACGAGAAGATAAGACTTTGAAAATATTTAAATAAAGCATTTTGTATTACTATAAATACTTTAGCTAACTTTCAAACGGAACTCCTTCAGTTAGTGTAACCAGTCTATTTTACTGCTGAACTACCGGAGCCAGCAGCTTCCTTCGTACAGTTCTGCAAAGAGATTTCATTGCTATTTTCACTTTCAATGAAATAAGACTAGTCGTGCCTTTTATACAGTTATATATGAAAATTAAGGTATAAGATGTGTCTCCTTTACCATGCAGTAAAGCCTTGCCGAAGTGAACTTTGTTTTTAACTGATGTAATGCAGAAAAAGAATATCAAATTAATAAATAAAAAATTAAGTCACCTCCAGCTCTATTAATCAATTCCATTAAGTTATTTTTTTCAGATGTAACTATATATTTTATAATAAAAAAGTATCTCGATGTACTGAATGCACTAACAGCGATCTGAGAAATAAATCTGTGTTCAGAATTTACGTTCTTTGATGGTTTAGTTTCGTCAAAATTTGCATTGCACTGAAAAGATCAACTTCACTTTCTCAAACTTCAAAACGAAACATCAAACAATTCAAGAAAGTTACAAAAATATTTTTATTGTAAATTCCAATGAATTTTACTACGTTATAAAAAAAAAAGATATTTATCTGTGGCTAATAATAATAGATATTTATCTGTGGCTGCGTGTCCTGAATAATCTTTCAGAAGACTATTTCTGAAACTGTGACTATACAATTGCAATCAATTATGACACAACATGAGGAGTTTCTCTCTATGTTATGAGAGTTTTAAAAAAGTGAAAATTGTAGTTCCCCCTTCTCTCTTTTTTTTTTTTTTTTTTTTTTTTTTTTTTTTTTTTTTTAAGAAATATCCATGTGCCTCAGCAATAATACTATTACTTTTCATTCGGCATTCAAACGTAATTCATGTTATGCCCATTCAGTAATCTGACAATTATATCAAAAATTAAAGAAGGAAAGCAAACGAAAATTTAGCGCTTTTTACTTCCTTGTACGAAGTAAAAAGGAAGTATTGTAATCGCGAAAAGTTTCAAGCAGCATATTTCAACGAAAATATCCATTTTGACCGCTATCGAATACAATTTAACGATGTTTTTTTTTTTTGCGTGATATCTGTACGTAAGGACAGAATAAAATACTCTTTTTCCTTCAAAAAAAATATAAAAAAACTTTAAAAAATTAAAATTATTCTGAAGAGAATTTTTCGTGGCGTCTTTACGAACGTATGAGCGTACGTACGTACGTATCTCGCATAACTCAAAAACGAGTAGCATCAGGACGTTGAAATTTTATATATAGGACTACTATAACATGTAGATGTGCACCTCGTATTTTGGTTGCAATCGGCCGCATCAAACGTATGTAAATATATATATATATATATATATCCACTCTGTTACCCGGCTCAGTGATCTCAGTTTCTTTACTCTTATATGTTTGTAAATTGTGCATTTTTTGCTTTAAAAATGATTATATTATGTTGTTTTTATCTTCCGGTTAAGGTTTTTATGCCTTTAGTAAATCTGTATGCAATATTTTTAGAATTATCAACAATTTTAAAGTTGTTTAAGTGCCGCTAAGTCTTTTTTTAATGGCGACCATTGATGTTTACATTTGAAACAAGAGGCTAGTGGATTTGTTGCCAATCTAGAGAAACTTAGCTTCGCAACAACAAAGATAAGGCATTCATTTATTATTGCCAATTAAATCATGCTTAATTCTTTCTGGAATTTTTTCGAGGAAATAAGAGTTTAAGATTTACTTCGTAATTTTTAATATAGATATTTGAGTTTTTATGTATTTTTGCCTTCTCGCGAAGTGAGAAATGAATTAATTAAATGAGAAATACTCAGTCGTCTGTGAAAAACTGTTTCTTTTTTGTTTTGTTTGCTTAATTTCTTTTATACATCAATCTAGCTTTATTATAGTATTTGAATAGAATATGGGGCATCGATTAGATAATTCTATTCTTTAAATGATATAAATTTTGTGCATTATGAGTTATAAAATGAACGAAATATATAGTTAACTGTTATATAATTATTGGTATATAACCAGTTTACTTAGTTTTCCGTTATAATTATTATATAAATTAACTGTTATAATTTATTAATACTGTTAAGTGAATCTAGCGCCAGAGTGTCGCTATGGTAAACAAATATTAGAGTGAATTTTAAAGAATGCATTTATTCTATTGCGGTTTATGCGCTGTCGGCGAAGTAGATTTAATTCAATCCAATAAGTTTAAATGAAATGCAACAAAAAATTAGTATAATTTAATATTCCGTACAAGGAAGTCATGTGGTGTACACATCAGATTTTTTTAATTATCAATTCGCATTATTTTCTTTGCGTGAAGAAAATGAAAATAAAAAGATTAAGATTAAAAATCGGAAATTTAATTCCTACAAAATGTACGCAAAGGTATGTGAAAGAAATGGGAATTAAATATCAGTCATTATAAATTTTTTAAATGCATATTTTACTGTATACTGGAAATAAAATAAGCTATAAAATTATTGCTAAGAAAATGACAAGGAAGAAAAATTACATTTACAGTACGATATGCTATTTACTAACATTTGAATTAATTGCCCTGTTCGTAATACGAATAAAATGTATATTACTAGCATCAAAATTGGAAGAGAAAACATAAAACAGAATAGATATTATATAAATTGCTATTAATTAAAAATCAGAAACTGAAGCGTTATCGCAATGAATCTGTGTATATTTTATGGAAATTAAAGATAAAATTGATTCATGTTTACTTAATTTTATGCACTTATGAAACATACTCGAGTTCTTTTTCTGCATATCTTGGTTATAAGGCTCGTATAAATTTTGAAATTTTCACAAATCTGTACAAATTTTTCAAATTATTTTACGCAAAAAGATCCCCAATGTATTAATAAACGACCTTCGCAGTTCAAATAAGCTTTGTTAAAGATTTGACTGTCAAAGTAAATAAATAACTTTAATTCTAATTTTAAAGCTAAAAATATCAAGGAAATACAATGCAGTGATAATTTACAAAGAAACTAATTTAAGAACTGCATATCTGTAGCCTTTTGGATATAAAATGTCTTCTAGCAAAACTACTAGATAACTGTTATAAATAATGCTTAATTACATTATAACTATTTCCGATTTTATTTTGGGTAAACTTTGCATTCTTTATTAATTTGCCCCTTTTTAATATTTTATTTTATCTAATTTTAGGCAATAAAATTTCTTCTGCTACTAATAATGATAGTATCTTTTGATTACCAATACTCAGTACCTTAAATGGAGCAAAAAGTTGTAGAGTCATTAGGTAAATTGGAAGAAAAGATAAAAAAGATAAAAATATGCAACCTCCTTCGCCGGGAATCGAACCACGGATCTCTGAAGTACCGGCTCAGTGTGCAACCACTACACCACGAAGGCACGCTAGGAAGTGGGAGAAATACCTTATAAAGTGATAAATTGATCAGTGCTTGACTATTTTAAGAAGATTTTGATTAACCTGTCTTTCAAAAAATATTCTTGTAAAAAGCTACAGTATTTTAATTAACGAACATTTTAATAAATAAAGGTTTTACTCTTACCATGAGCTGCCTTCAAGCCAGAAATAAAAAGAACGGTTAACAAAAACATTTTCAATTTCCCCAACTAATACTGCTAGTTTAAACTTTCACTAAGAGTTATCAACAGGTTAAAATTATGATATTGTCTAGCTGCGGCTGTTTATATACTTGTTTAAATTTCTATATTTATTTGTCAAACATATTTATCATGCAGGCTTTATTTATCAAGCATTCTTTAAGATACTGCCCAGCTGTCGTAATTTATATGTGAAACAAAGGATGTTAGCTATTACATTTAGACATCAGTTCAAAGAATATTTGCCAATTTCCATTTGAAATATTTCACTTCATTTTTCATGACTCACGGGATATTTGTCATATTGCATACTGAAAGGATTTCACTTTCACAAGTTAATTCGATAGCTGCTTCCTGTAAGTGCTTCCTATTTAAAAGAAGTGCTGATTCACTGCGCATGATATCGATTACAAACAACTTTTTTTCTTCTAACGTCTTGGCTAAATGATAAGACTTCGTATTTGTTTTTAATGCTTGGAACTTTCCAGTCATGTAATCTCTTAAGAAACCTTTTTGGGCGACCGTTAAGATCTGAAACCTTTCAGATTTTTTTTAGTAGAAGTGAGATGAAAAACAGATTCACTGCTTCAGCAATAAGAAGGCATATCGTTGATTATAACCAATTCCCTATTCTTTAAAAGTTTCTTTCCAATTTAGTAGCTCTGTAGAGACGTTAGGTTATTTCGAAGCAGGATTCATGAAAAATGAGCAGCGACCTCGCTGAGAATCGAGCCACGGACCTCTGGAATACGGGCCCAGTGTGCTGACCACTACACTACGAAGGCATGCTAAGAAGGCGGGAGAAATATCTTATATACTCCCACTTTTAAAGGGCGACTGGGGTTTTTAGGGGGACCCAGTGACCAAATCCTGGATGTGGAGAATCATCATCCTTCACCCTTTGTAGTTCGGGCGCCAGTGTAGAGACATTACGTTATTTCGAAGCAGGAATCATGAAACATGAGCAATGCCCTTGCCGCGAATCGAACCACGGACTTCTGGAAGGCGTACCCAGCGTGCAAACCACCACACTACGAAGGCAGGAGAAATACCTTATAGCTCATGGTGAGCTTCGGCTCATATTGTACTTCTTGAGTTATTTCACAGATGAAACACTGCTAACGTTGTAGAGACATCAAGTTAATTTGGAAAGTCGGAGAGATGAAAAATTAGCAACCGCTTTCGCCAAGAATCGAACCACGGACCTCTAGAATACCGTCCAGCGTGCAGAACCACTACACAACGAAGGCACGCTAGGAAAGTGGAGAAATACCTTATAACGTCTATAATTGTCAACGCGTTCAGAATGTATTGTTTCACAAACAATAAGTGACCGTAAAAGGTCAATAAAATGAATTCTCTTTTGACAGTCCGAAACTACGTAGAGCGAAAATTACGAGCAATATAATTAACGTTTTAGAATATAAAATATTGCCTCATCTGCACGATTCTCATTAAAGTTTTCCAAGTGATTATTATCCATTACTTGCTCTGGAAATCTACACATAAGAGAAGGTTTCGGATATAAATTCAGAGGAGTCCAATTAAGACATTTTAAAGAAACAGATGATATGAGCTTACTTCTCGCTGGGAAAAGATTCTAGACTCTCATGGTCCCTATTAAGAAGAGTAAGATTAGTTCTGAAATAAGCACTTGATTTTTTTTTAATTTTCATAGAAAAAGCGGCAAATTTTTTATTACCCAATAATTTGGCAAAGGTTTTTTTTTTTTTTTTTTTTTTTTTTGTTGTTTGGTCGAATTTACGTTCTGTAATGTATTGAAAATGTTTATAATTATTAAACGCGTACATAGTTCTTGTAATATGTGTACGTAACTGTAAGAGAAGTTTTAAATATTTTTAAAATTTGAGTATTGCATTTGTGTAGCTAAAGGGTGTCCCAAAATTTACGCAAGATTTTAATTCAGTATAAAAGAGTGTTTTTAGTCTTTAGATATTTATTTTTTAAGTGAATTATAAAGTACATAGTATAGGGTTATTTATGGAATAACACATCGGGCAAATGGCTTCCACGGCTTTGCTGGCACATACGCACCCTTTTGTAGAAACTTTTCATGACCTTTCTGCATAATTGTTGCTGAATTTCTTTGATGCAGCGTTTAATTTCCTCTTGTAATGCACGTGTGGTTGTGGGATTGTTGACATAGATTTTTGACTTCAAATAACCCCATAAGAAGAAATCTAATGGTGTTAAATCACATGATCTAGGGGGGCCAATTCTGATCACCGAAACGAGAGATTACCCGATCAGGAAATGTCTCATGCAGTAATTGAATTGTTTCATTGGCTGTATGGCATGTGGCACCGTCTTGTTGAAACCACATATTGGCCACATCATTGTCATCCAATTTCGGCAGAAAGATCTGTGTTGACATGTCGCGATATCGAGCACCATTAACAGTTGCTGCTTGACCAGCCTCATTCTTAAAAAAAGTGTGGTCTGATGATGCCTCCTATCCAAAATCCTGCCCCCCCCCAAAAAAAAACAGTGACACGTTGTGAGTGCATTTGTTTTTCGCTAATCACACGTGGGTTCTCCGAACCCCACACACGACAATTTTGGTGATTAACAAAGCCATCGAAATGAAAATGTGCTTCATCGCTTAGGATTATTTTGCTCGATAAACCAGCATCCACTTTTTAATGATTAAGAATCCGTTCCACAAACTCTCTTCTCTTCTCATGGTCATTAGGCTTCAGTAGTTGTGTTAATTGAATTTTGTAAGCATGAAGACACAGATCTTTTGTGAGTATACGCTGTAGAGAGCTTCTTGAAATTTGCAGTTCTTGTCCACGACGCCGAATTGATGTTCCTGAGTTTTCATCAACACTCTCACACACTACTTCAATATTGACATTTGAACGGCTTGGTTTTGAACGACCGGTGTGTTTAGCGTCTCCAACTGATCCAATCTCCACGAATTTTTCAATTAATCTTTTCACAGTTGGCGACGTTAAAACTCTATTTTATTTTGTATAAAATTTTCGAGCTGCGGCCGCCAAACTTTCATTATTTTTAAAATATTGTTTAATAATGAAGACACATTGTTGTATCGTATAACGCTCCATTTTCACCAACCCTAAACTCTCGGCTTTCAAACTGTTCTTTTTTCAGGGTTGCCAACAACTTAATGCAAAAATGGCGCCAAATTCACATCTTGCGTTAATTTTGGGACACCCTTTACAAAAGGAAAGAATTTTTGCCATTAGTCGAACTATGATTTAGTTTCCATCCTCTATTTTTCTGCTAATGCAATCAAGGAATACTAGTTGTAATTATATAGAATACGGATATTTAAAAAAAGCAATCCATTTGCTGTATGAATAATTTTGTTTCCTTGACATACCCTCATTATTTTTACTGTTAGAAAACATATGAAGATATAAATCATTCTCAGATTGTTTTCTAGGTATTTGTTCAAGAATTACTACTCAAGAGCATATTAAATCTCCATTGTGATTAAGTACTTTAGTTCAGAAATATAACCATTATTTCTGCTAGTTACTATCACGCTTTTTATCTTAATTAGCTATAGGAACGATTAAATAAAAAATAATATCCGTTAATTTTCTTTATGTTGACAAAATAAAAAATAGAAAAGTAAAACCAGGCGGATAAAAATAAGTACAGGAATGAAGTGGATTTTCCATGATTTCAGGTAATTCTACAATCAGAAACCGGAAGTTTCTGGTCTAGACGCCTGGGGATAAATGTTCATGAGAGAGGTAGTGGTTTTTCATTCAATTCTATTAACCACAAAAGTTATTACGCATCATTCTACATGTTTAAATTCTTTTTAAATAAATGTCTCAATATACAAATTTTTTAAATATTTACTGACATTTAAATCACCTAGTTTATCTATCAGAACACTTATCACTTAGAGTTCAATATGAGAAGGTTTTTGAGCATAACTTTACAGTAATCTATAAAACTATCAATTTTAAACAAAACTGCGTTCATGGGTACTCTTTTATATGATACCTTATAAAATTTACCCAACTCTTGCGAGAAACACGGCGAATAATGTCGTGAAGGATCACGAGCATTTAAATCGCCGAAAACTCTTCGTGGGCTTATATTCACTGCACATTCGCATAGTTCATTACACATGTGCACGTTTAAACTTACGTATTCCCCTCTGAATATTTACATAATTCTTCGGTGGCATAATTATTACTTTTGGTTCAAACGTTTCGTAAAAAATAGGTATAATTTGCAGATTCGCTATTTTTTTTTATCCTTAATTCCTTTTAAATGTTATATGATGTTTTAAGGCAGCGATCTCCATTGATAGCGTACCCCTAAGACGAAAATAATTATAGTCAAATACCGAAAATCCGTCGACCTGAAATCCGCGTTGCCTCTCAAAATATAAACATTCAGTTTATAGGTTCCGGAAACCGCAACATTGAGCGCGAAATATCGAAGAAAAAATACTTACCGAATAATGACGTCATAATTACGAAATAATAATGAGTCATAACGTAAATACCAAATTATTGACATAATAGTTTAAAAAATATGATAACAGTTTTTTTTTCCTTCTAATCTCTGCATCCAGGTAAAAAAGCACACGATTCACTCAACTCTTCTTTCAAGTTCACGATTCACGTTTTTGTATTTTCTGAGCTTTGTTATTTTCACGAGATTGTTTAGAGCTGCCTTTTTTTATCCTGATATTTTGTGGATAAATTAAGAATATTTTTAATTTCAGCCCTTTTTAATAGTACAATAACAGATAAGCACTCATGATTTTACTGCTTGCAATGTTGAAAAACGTAAACACGTTGCATTGAAGATAACTCAAAAAGTGCAAATTCTGCAAAAGATGGAAGCAGGTGCTACTCCTCGATTTTATAGCAGAATGGTATGGAATTGCGAACGATTGTGTATGATATACGGAAAAAAAAGAAAAACTGTTGAAATTTTACAGCAACAGTGATCCTAACATGGGAATCCGAACCGGAAATCTTTGCATTAGGCGAAATCGGCAAACCGCGATGCTGCGTACATTAATACAAAGAATAATAATCAATTATATATTAAAAAAAAAATGCATATAATAAATTTTTCAATAATGTATAATAATTTAATTAAATTATCTAATCGCCTTATTTTTTTGCCACTTTTAGTCCGAAATTATGCTTATCTGTCCTGAAATCTTAAAATCCGCACGACCTCTGGTCCCAAGCTTTGCGGATTTCTGGACTTCTACTGTATAAATTTTACCGCACATAACATTATATAATGAAATATAATGCAATGCAATGTAATATAATACAAGTATAATGTAATGCAATACAAATATAATTAATTAATGTAACATAATGTAATATAATATAATTTAAAATAGTGTAATATAACGAGGTGCAATATAATTTAATATATAATCTAAAATAATATAATGTAACGTAATATTATGCACTTTAAAGTAAGTTTTAAGTATATGCATGCGCTTTAAAGGCGGTGCATTTATGAAGCTCAGCTTCCCAGACGCTAGTGAAACCAGACGCAGCGACCAGTGAGAGAATCTCTCACTCATGTAATACACAGTCATACAACTCGCAAGTGAACGTGAGTCTACTTCATTGGCGTATCCCAAAGTACCCTTTCACGTACTTCTTAGGGTATGCGTACCCCACTCTGGAGACCACTGTTCTAGGGCATAAAATAATGAATCTTCCAGCTGCACACCAGTGGATCTCCGCATGTAAAACATTAAGAACTTGCATCATGGAAAAAATTAAACTTTTATTGCAACATAAATTATTTATAAAGCATAGTTAATATTTTAGTACTTCTACACGTATAAAATCATCCTGTTATTATTCTTTAAAACAAATAATACACGTGTAAAGTCTTCTAGAAAACATAAGCATTGGTTTTTATTGACAATTCAAAACACTGATCTGAAAAAATTCTTGATTTTCTCCAAAAGGGATTCTTCTTTCAGTGCTGAGCCTGCAAGAATAAAATAAAACAAAATGAAACATTATATGCTGTAACCCATGCGTTCTACATTTTGAAACTTCTAGGCTCTTTTGCTCGGCAAAGCTAAGCAGCCTAGAAGCTTAACAAAGAAAGCAAATCCGATAAAAATGCACCAAGGCCATATATAAAGTTATTTATTAACGATCACATTATAACCTATGTTATTACATTTGATAAAGTTTAATTAATTTTAATCTGAAAGATGTTTATAAGGCAAAATCCATATGGACGTTTCCAATGTGAATAATTAGCCTGTTTTTACTTTTTATGCTTCATATGAGAAAAAAATTGCTAACATATGAATATGGTTTCAAAAAAGACATCATGGCTATAAAATGCCATAATGAATTATGAATTTTTAAGTATAAAAGGTGAGATATTATAATTTTTTTTGGTGAGGAAGTACAATTTTTACAAGTCCACTTAAATAAATTTTCCTTATGTTACATGTTTGATTACAGCTCTTTACACCCAATTCGCAAGTTTTCTGGTAAATTTGAGTCAAATGAAAATGAAGGAGCAATTACTGAAATTTAAACTGTTTCTTATGAATTTTAAATATGTTTTGAAGATTATCCGATAAAATGGGAATCACTGCCATATGGTTTTAACTTGATGCTAGGCGTTTGTGCCGTATGATGCTGGGTAACAAACACACTGTGGGAGCAGACGTTTCCCTCTGTAACGTCTGACGCATACTCTTCCATTATTGTACTCCAGATTGAAGCGAGATTCATTTCTTACCACGCACTGTGTTGTCGTGCCCATTGAAGTTGGAGGCGTCTGTGATTCAGCGACAGGGAAATTCTCCAACCGTGGAGCTAGACAGCAGAACAGCTGTAGCCGTGCTCCAACGTTGTGCTAACATACGAGAGGATGCTGCACAATCTGCCATAGCCATGCGGATGAGGTGTCTGTCGTCCTGTGCCACACTGCTGTTACGTGCCCCATTGCCAGGATTTCGCCTTGTTTGGTTCTCCTCTGTTCATTTCTTCCAAATCTGCATAACTGCTGTGGCATTATACTGCGCGCGGGCTGCAACTGCTCGGTGCGAAAGTCCACCCTCTCGGATACCCGACGATGCGGCCTCGTTCGAATTCCGTTAGTTATTGGTATGACACTTTCCGCTGTTGGCAAATAATATTGACCACTAATTAAACGTTCACCGCAGATAGAGGACGAGAAACAGATTTCAACGCAACTTTACATGTTTTCTATACATGGAACAATTCACATTCCACGCATGTGCAATCGCTTTGCCTTTAAACCTTCAAGTTTAAATCTTCAAAAGGCCCATACTCTCCATAAATATTTGCAAATTAGCTATTGTTGATAAAAAGACAGAGAGAGAGAAGAACGAAAAAAGCATGCTGATATTTTTATTTCTTGCTGCTGAAACTGAAATCCAGTTTTTATCTGAGGTCGCTTAAATTAAAGCTGTGTTTATGGATGGTAAAATTGTAGAATCTGCCTGATGTAATTAGTAGAATTAAGTTCATCAAACCTGAGCTACAAAAGCTTAAACTGAAAGCCCCTATGTTAAGCGTGTCTTTCAAGAACATACTTACCTACAGGCGTGCGTGTCTCTATAGGGCGTTTTTAAGTTCAGCATTATGCAGATCATAGGATGTCACTATTCTGCGAGATTACTGTGGTTGCCAATTTCTACAACTTCTGTTAGGTCACTGTAAGTACATTATGTAATCCTCATACATCTCTGATCTGATAGCAAAAAAATTTTATTTGTATCGTTTAAAAAGCTGCGCTTTACGCAGAGAAGATAATAACATTTAGTAGCACCACCGAGAAAATATTACTGATATTTAAAGTAGGGTTAAGACTACTGTAACTGAACTTTTGCTATCAGAGTGGTAGTAAATATTGTGCATTTGTATTAGGAACAAGAGGTAGCTTTCTAAACAGACTCGTTAAAATTTCTTACGATACTTTTGGCTTAAAGAACAACCTGTATATTGTAAAACGTATAATATTTTGGTTCTTTTTTTGTTTGTTTGTTTACGGATGCAAGGCTAAAAAGCTGTTATTTTGGGATTTTATACCACATTTATGTTTATTCGCGAAGTTAAACATTAAAGCTTATATCTTGCCAGAGTTAAATTAGATCTAGCTAGAGAATTAGTGAGTAACAGAGAGAAAGAGAGAAAACTAGATTTTATATTATACCTTACATATTTCCTCTGACAATTCATAAACGATATTTCACTAAAATTTAATAACTACTAGATTCAGCGAAGAATGCGTACTAATAACTATTAGATTCAACGAAGATTAATTATAACTTTACCTTCATTTTTACCAGCATGACTGTAATGATCTACTCCGAAATGGACGAGGTGACGGGGATTCTGACAATCCTTTCTAAATTCATGTGTCAGCCATGAGGTTTCCAGTTTCTTTTCTGTGCCACTATCATAGAGATGACCTGGAAGTTGAAAATATTTTCACAATCAAAGCAAATAGTAATAATGGCATTTTAATGCAAATTATTGAGTTGGTGCATTTAAAATGGCTGTATTAAGCAATACTGGAAACGATCTCCGAATACATGTAGGAAATAACGACCATGTAGGAAATGACAACCTGTGTTTTGATCAGCATGTAATTGAAAAGCATGGTTGGCTGTGAGTTAAGTATTTTGTTGAAACGAGCCGTCAAAACTATAGACTTTTCACAGCAAAAGTTGATTTTCCTGGAATTCAAACTGGGTTATTCCGCTATAGACAAAATTACCAAAGTCTTTGTACCATATACAGCTACTGATTGCACCATTCATCGCTGATTTTCAAAGTTTCGTGCAAGTGACTTGTAGCTGTAAGATGCATCTTGTGAACGGATCGCAATCTTTTCAGACGATTTCTAAGGCAAACTATAGAAGTGGACTCCTGAAAAGTACCTATATGATAGCCAAGTTTATAATTTATTTTATTATTTAATGTATGCTCAACTGATGTATTTGAACGTTCTCCATTTTCTGTCTATTTAAATGTGGTGAAAAAGTATTTGTCTAAAACTTAAAATATTTTACCTAAAGCTTGGAAACTTATGAGAGAAGTTACTTTTCTCTTTAAGCTAATGAGAAAGCCGAGTTCATAAACTTTCGAATTTTACAGAACTTTTCCCTTCGGAAAAAGTCTCTCCGTTGGAGGAGAGGTGGTAACAGCTTTAAATATTGTTATTAAAAATCTTATAATTTAAAATAAATGATTTAAATAGATGAACATTAAGGTATATTAACGGCAATGTTTGAAACGCAGGCTAGAGCCACGTGTGGCTCTCGCACGAAGTATTTTTTTTTCTTTCGAAACGAAGAATGTATTTATTATTATGCTTTTTTAATGTTAGAATACGTTTTTTCTTCTTGTTTGTATGCCGCCATTTTGAGTGTTAAATAAAACTTATTGCTGTGTTCAATCAATGGAGTTTGCTTCAAATTGCGAAAGGCCCACCAGCGGCCGAGCGGTAAAGTCGCTGAATACTGGTAGTCGGTCCGAGGTTTGAATCCCGCGAACGGGCTGGCTGCATGGGTGTTTTCGTGGTTTTCCCCATGAGTAACGTGTATACGAGCCAGTTTCCCTTATAAATTCCTCCACGAAGGCATCCCTCCCCTTAGGCAGATAGCCCTAGTGTGCTTTGTCATAATTAAATACACCAAACCAAATTGCGAAAGAAGTATCACAGTACGTTAAAGACTCTTTCTCTTCTCCGGTACTGCTGCTTTCACCGTCGACTTGTGTTATAAGATCATCCAATTCTTCATTCGTCATTTCACGATCGTCATTCTCGTCTAATTCTTTAATTTCTCTTTCTTCCATATCTGAAAATCCATTGCCGCCTATTACTTTTGCAGTTTGTACGATTTTCTTGGTTTCGTTTTTAATTAGTGGAAATGGTTTTCTTGGCTTCGTTTTGAATTAATGGAAATGGTTTAACTTCTAGCTCGTGCTAATGCCAGCAAGCATTCATTGTTCATTGTTCACTTATTTCCATGCGAGTTTAATAATTTCTATGTAGTGTCTTTCGTTGAATTACTTCCAAAATGCCATTAGTGTGTCATGCTTTCCTTCGTTCTAGTGCTTTATTTGCACAGAAACATGCCTGCCATAATAGGTTTTGAAGGTTTTTGATTTCTTGATCCGTTAGTTGGATTAAGGAAGTGGTGTTCAGTGGAAGGAATAAAGCTTCAGCACTTGGATGCAATGCTGTGAGGGCTTCATAACCGTGTCCCGAAGCATCATCTAGAATGAGAAGTTCAAAGCTCAAGATTTGCTATTTTAAGTAACATATGTGACTCCTTTAATGACTAAATTTTCAAACTAATTAATTATAAGGACTATAGCAACGCGTCCGACATTCTGCAGCGCACCACACATATTTGAAATTCTCGCATTCGACAAATTAAATGGTGAAAATTAAGATAACGCGTCTACCAAACTCGCGTTCATTAAGTTCACGTTCGACAAAGGTTTATTATACTCGTAACGACTATAACAAGAAATAGTAAATCTGTTGTGCATGTGCTTAGGTGGTGCTGGCGCATTGCATGACTAGAAGTGGCGTATTAAACCTCACAGAAGAATTTTTTTCTCTATTTATAAATACACAATAACCTTATTTTTAAATTTTAGCCTTCCACTATTACTATGCATTGTAATTTCATGTTACTATGAACATTTACTGCACTATGCATGTTACCATGCTTATTAATTGTTTAACTCTGAAATGGCAAGCACCGGTAAAAGTGCGTCTCTAGATTCCCAATCAGTTATACCAAACTATAGTGTTATATTAGATGAACTTCTTACGCAATGCTTATGAACAATTCAGTGTTTTCGAATTTATATCTTTTATAAATGTTTTTAAGATAATATTTCTGTTTCATTAAGCCTTAATATAACTCTATAAATTAAAAAAAAATTTTAAATTCTTTTTGCGTTGGAGAAGCATGCCAAGATTTTTCTGTTCTTCTAATTTCTGACTGCTGAAACGTGCAATTTTTCATTGTGTTGGTTAAAAGCCCTTTTTTAATGAAGGAGAAGTTATTAAACTCTGTGTCGGAAAAATAAATCTGTAAATGTCTTGAGATAAAAGTATTAAAAGAAAAGTGAATGATATGGCTCTGTCCAAGCAAACATTTATAAAACGTATGAAAACACCTTCCAGTGATGTTAATGAAAGGCCATGTTCCTATTCATTCTTTCTTTCTTTAGTCTTGCGGAAATCCACTGAGATATGTGATATAGCACAATCATGTATTTTTATTAGAAGAATTGATAGTTTTAACATCTTTGAAGAACGTATCTGTCTTGTCTTGCTTCATGGAAAAACGAGAGCGTTAAATAAATTTCAGAAAGCGAAGTCCTGCCTAGAAAATTATCAACCAGATTCCAATAAACTCATCAGTTTTCCACTGATGGAACACCGTTAAATGGTAGGTAGAGTTTCTAGGATCATTAACTTTACCTGGAATGGTTTTAGGTTGTTCTCAATACAAGAGATATAAGAGATGAGAAAATGTAACATTAGAACGTTAAAAATAACGAGATTAGAACGTTAAAAATAAGAGGTTTATTCATAATATTTTCCGAATACTGTGACTTGTTAGGTATGGAATACGTTGATCTCTCTCTTTATTCACGAAGAGACGTGCTGGCTTTCGTGAGCAATGATCTTATACTCAAGATGAATGCAGCTGAATGCACGATCGAAAGCAGCTAACAATTTTTTTCTTAACTACAATGGAAGGTTTTCGTAACAAAAAAATTCTTTAATTAAATTAAAAATTTCATAAAAGTGTTTTATTTACTAAATGTTTATCAAAACGGTAATAATAGTACACAAACGAAAAAATTCCAATTTATATTTATTTTCGATCGGAAACTTAAAGGTTGAATCTTCAAGGAATTTCTTTTGATTATGCTCTCTAATTCAAATGTATCGATACCTAATTATTCAATTTTCAGACAGGCATTTATTTCAAACTAGCTTTTAAATGCACCGGAAAAATGCCTAAAGGGTGAACACTGAACTTTAAATTTAAAAACTGCGCAGAATTTTACTTCATCAAAAACAAACTCACAAATTTCAACAAAAAATGTATTACATATAAACAAAATTAGAATGAAATAAGCAATATCCCTTAATACAAAATATTAATTATCCTAATAAATAAATTAACCAACTTCTCATTGCAAAATCTTAAGAATTCAAATGGTATAAGGAAAATTAAAAACTTTGTTTCCTAAAACAAATCATGCAAAACTTTTTATATAATTAAAATTATATATAATTAAAACATAATACTAAACACAAATTACAATGAAATAAGTAATAAATCTCATATTTTCAAGAGAGAACAGTCAGCAGTCCAGTATCCAAAGCAATGAATGAAAAACTGTAGCCAAAACCGCATTTCTTAAAGAATGAAACTATCATCAGAAAGCAATAACAAATCAAAATTGTGCTTTGTGGGTGACATAATTCAAAATATACAAATCTCTTTGCCATTAGCTAATAAAGAGAGAGACAGGGGGAAAAAAGGAAATTCTTTCTGTTGTGCCTCGCCAGACACATGCGCGTCAGAATAAGGAGATTGCGATGTGAATGTTGCGTGTCCAAAAATCAAAAGAAAAAAAAAGCAGCATTTTACCTTATATTTTCAACAGTTAGCAGCCCAGTATACAAAGCATTGAATGAAAAACTGTTGCCAAAACCACATTTCTAAAAGAATGAAACTATTCAAAATGATGCGATAAAATCGAAGAGATAAAATCTGATTCGAATTTTGAAAAAATCGTTTCGAGGTGCACTGTTTCTTGTCTAGATGCACCTATATACCAAATTTCGTAGCCCTAGATCTACTAGCTTACGCGCAGTACGAACGAAAGACTCTTTCTTTTATTATATGTAGAGAAGAGATAACTCTAATATGTTGGTTTAACCCACACATACAGAAAAAATGCATGTATTTGTACCCAAATAATTACAAATTTCTTTATTTCTTACTGAAGCTTTCAGCTAAAACATCCCATGGCATTTCGATATCATTAAAATTTGCACCTTACGTAAAAGATTGTTAGAAACTACCTTTGTCACGAGTTATAGATACTCATGGATCAATCTTGTCCTTGTTAATTTTGTTGTTACTTGTTAATGACTGACTTGTTAATGCTTGACTTGTTAATTTTCAACTGCGGAAAATAAATGTTCATGTATAAATGTATCCCTAAACAAAGTGATTATTCTTATTGCAAAAATTCGTAACTGAGGGTATTTACCTTTTAGTAAGAGAAAAAAAAAAAAAAAAAGATTAATCGAATCAGTATCTTCAAATATTTAAATAAGATTTATATCACAATATAAATAAATTAGCTCCATCTGTAGATTTTCTAGAGCTTACTTACGTTCATTTTAATGGTAATGAAAATAATGTAAAACTGGACTCAGAACATTAGAAGCTTAAATTCTTCAAATTCTTGCCATAATAAATAATTTCATAATAATTCTAATTAACTTTCAGAAAATTTATTCCCAGGCCGAGTAAAATTGCTTCAGGGGTCACATGCGGACCGTGAGACGTAACTTTCAGATTATTGTGTAGAGACATTAAGTATTTTTTTAAAGCAGGCAAGATGAAAAATTAGCAACGCCTTCGCCGGGAATCGAACCACGGACCTCTGGAATACCGGCCCAGTGTGCAGACCACCACACCACGAAGCACGCTAGGAAGGTGGAAGAATTACCTTATATACTCCACCTTGTAAAGAGCGACTGAGGTTTTTATGGAACCCAATCGCCAAATCCTGGGTGGGCAGAATCATCATCCACCATCCTTTTAGTTCGGGCTCCACTGTAGAGGCATATGATTTCTCTTGGAAGCAGGAGACTTGAAAAATAGGCAAAACCTTCGTCGGGAATCGAACCACGGAATACCGACCCAGTGTGCAGACCACTACACCACGAAGGCATGCTAGGAAGGCGGGAGAAATACCTTATAACTGTTCTAGAAGACAAGTTCTGAGTAGATTTTGGACAATGAAATACAGCGTTCATAATGAATATTTGATTCAACATATTTAATTGATAATAGTAACACCCCGAATAATCTAGACTTAAAAGTGCAGGGCAAGACAAAGTCAATTCCAATCTGAGTATATAACGTAAGTTCATTAAAAATTAAATGAAATCTTTTCGGGTTCTATTTAGAAAACAGGAATTTTCATATTTAAAATTAATGATTTCGCCGAAGAAGACGACTCCAGATTTGCATTTATAAATCCCTTTCCACAAAATGAACCAAAAATGTTGTCGATGCATATGACATATAAATGAAATTTACTCATCTCAAAACCAATTCTTTATTCTAAAATGATTATTTATTTAAATGCATTTTCATCAATCACAGATGCTGATGATTTTATTAACGTCTGAAGATCGTTGTTCTGTGAACATTTTCCAGAACTAATAAAATTTTCTCAAAGTTATATCCGTCTTTTTGAAACAACGTACACATACGAAAAAACATTTCCTTCCATGAAGATTATTAAGATTAAACTATGGTCGCAATAAGTTAATTCAAACTTCAAAAACTGTTTTATATTTTCTGTAATAAGTCCAAATATTACAAGCCTAGCAGAAACAAAGCATTTCAAAAGTCTAGTAATTAATGTCTATCTAGTCTTCAGTTGAAATCCTTTCGTTATAAAGTTAAAAGTATTTAGATTGCTGCATATGTAATGAATTATATGTATAACTAATTAAATATACCCATATGTTAAAATGGCTGAAAAGGGTGATAAATTTGCATGAGCATCTTAAAAAATGAAGAATTTTACGCATGAAATATAAGTTTGACCACACCTAGATTAGTCTTGAATTACTTTCCTTAAGCTGAAGTTTTTTTCAGAATTTCTTTCAAAAGAAAATCGATCGCATTTTTACGCGTTTCAGAACACAAAATGGAGATATTTTTCTTCAAACTTCAGATATAATTTTGAGACTAATTTTTTAATATGTGCCATATCAGTAATTTTACTCAATGGCACTATTAGAAGTTAAATAACACATATACTGCCTAGCGTAACATAAGCTAGCTGATAGCATAACATAAGGTGTGTGGTTCACTGAATACAAGCATTGCGATGTCATACATTAAATAGATTTACTCTGTGTCCAATTACCCTTGGAAAGTCCTTCATGAAAGCATTTATCCTCTCAAGCAGATAACCCTGGTGTGCTTTATCATATTGGACTAAGCTAACCAATTGGTGTTGATCATAAATAATGTACCTTTTTCAATTTTTATTTAGTTATATATATAGTTACCTTATCGCAAGCATTTAATTTTCTGACTTATTTTAACTTAAATTTAAAATTCATCGTTTTGCTAAAGACTGACCTGCCCAAACTTTAAATTTCTTAGATGTTTGAGGGGATACAAATCCAAGAGCTTCAAAATCATCACTGCCATCACTGTGTCCAATAATCTCAGAATGACAGTTGGATCCTGAAAGATGTAGAGAAAATAATAATAATATTTAAAAAAAATGAGATAAACATAAAACTATATTAAACAGAAATTAAACATAAATGACGTCCATAAAGTTATAATGTTAGAACTGAAATGCCTCTTGTCGTATTTTTAAGACTTTTCATTCAGTGCACCTAACGCTGCATACAGTATTAGATGAACTACTATACATTAGACAAATTAGCCGATTTTATTGTGAGCCCATTTAAGAGGGTTTGGGACTATACGCACAGAACACATTCCTAATTTTTACGAGGAGAAGACAGGATTATGATTAGTTTTAGGATAAGGCGCAAATGCCTCGTAAAGGGCTGCGTAAGGCCCTAGACCGACTCTAAAGACTTAAAGTATAATTTAGGCCACTTAAAGGACCTTAGCCCATGTCCAGACCTAAAGTATAATCAGGCTGTATTTACCGGATTCGAGGGCAGTCACTGATATCATTAATATACAGACTTGCAAGAAATAAATAGGTAAGATAGGAATTTGGCTAAATAGCTAAACGTAAACCTCTTACTGCATAAGCAATTTATCTGCTCATACACATTCCCTTGGCTATCGGAAGTCGTCACAAAAAGTTGAAGTTAGTTGTCATTTTGGCGATATTCCAATTTCATATTTTCTTCTTGACGTTATTTTATTTTATTGATTTATTTATTTTTCTAAATATAAACAAATGACAATGGAAGAAATATGTGACGTATTATGCAAATAATATGTTACTCAATATATACAGACGCCTTCCGCAATGCATTTAGTTTTCAAACTTCGGTCTGCGTAGCATTTATTATGAACACAAACAGTTGAGAACAAAGAGATCATTATGCTTCAAAAGTTAACTACAGTGATAGATTTTGTTTATGCTTGCGACTGGGAATATGAAACGTAGAAGACGTATAATCTTTCCAATTAAAATAGTTCATAAACAGTATTTTGGATGCTAGATTCACGACCAGGACAATGGAAATGAGTAAACAAATGAATAACTTGATTAAATAAGTAGCATGGTAATAATGGTAATTATAAGAAGAAAAATATATAAATGCATAAATAGTGACTATTACATTAAAATGAAATCTATAAAGTATGAGATTTCTGTAACTAAACAGACATAAATAAGGAAATCCCATAAAGATAATACACGAATTCATTGTTGTTTTCAAGAATAACGGTTGTAGTTAATTGATAATATTTATAGCGCAACAAACAAATAAACATAAAATAAATAATTGTTAATAAAATGTGTTTTAAATTTTTATTTATCCTATTTATGAACATCGGATAAAATAGAGATAAGAAAGTAATGTCATTAAAAATTAAATATAATGAAGTCTATAAAGTTATAATATTTGCAAATGTTCTTTTAGTCTGAAAATATATCCAGGGATATGAAGAGTTTCAAAACTAATGTAGATACATATACACATGCATGATTAAAAAAAATTATGTAAATCAAAATTCTAACTTAAATTTGCAGTAGCCCCTTAACTCTTCATTTTAATTTGGATGTTTCTCCTTTCTGCTCTAGAAATAGTAATTGTTTATGATAAAACTCTCTGGACTACTGTGTCATTTCCAGATTTTTCCATATCATTTGACTCTTGCATAACACTGCTAACATTTCCTGAGGTGAAACTGAACCAGTCAATAATACTTTTAGTAAATTATTAGTAAATCAAAACTAATTTATCCTGAAGTAAGATTTTTGTCACGAACACATTACAGTTACTTTTCTGCTTCTCAACCTAGCCAGATTGCTACAGAGGTGCTCTCCTCTTACAACGACGATATCAAAAATGTAAACGTTTTGGAACAGGCAACGATCAGTGTGCCAAGTTATTTGTTACTGCATTTCTGAAATAAAAATGAATGTTTAAATCTGCCAATACTTTCAAGTTTCTTCTTCGATTACACATCTATATTTATCTACAACATATCTAAATTATTACATAATGTGTGCATCACTAAAGTATATGTGTTTAATAGATTGTAAAAGTTTATTTCATAGATACCATAATGACACTTGCAGACAGACGTAGCTCTAGATTAGAGATAATTTTATCTTTTGCTAACAGAAATCGTTAGATGCATAATCTGATTCACACATCATTATCGGCGCACCATGCACCCTACAATTTTTGGAAGCTGATGACTGTAGATGATAAACAGAAATTAGTCGCAACGTGTCAGTAGTAGCCAAGCAAGCGACGAAAATGACTACGCATTCAGAAAAAGTATGGGAAAGTCTTCAGGTTTCAGTTTTTAATAGCAATCTTGATCTGTGATTAAATAAGAGATATCTGCATTGCAGGGTTACGTAAGAATCCATGATGCGGATTAATTTTGAAATCATGCAGTTTAGACAGGTATGTGATGAAAAGGGGAAGTACCTAAACTACAATGAGGAATAAAAGGAGACTATTGCCAATAAAAATTAGAAGTTTGCTCTATATGTTTTTCTCTTGCATGTATACATTCAGTTCATTTACTGCTTAACAGTAACTGTTAAGCATTTGAAGAACAGAACTAAATCTAACTTGGAAATCTTTACAACTCGTGAAGAAACATCCAAAATGATTTTTTTTAAATAAGAAAAAAATACTCTTCAAGTTTTACCTGTAAAAAGACCAGGTTCGGATTGAGCAGATATGTTCAACTTATCGCCACTATCAGATATCCATTGTCCTTTGATTCTATCTGCATATAAAAATGACATGAGCTTCCTTTTTTATATAAAGAAAAATAAAAACACATTAATTAAATTATAAAAGCAAGCGACGCGCAACAGTTTAAATTATCATGAACTAGCAGCGACGATGTCAGCCTTCGTCTAGCGTTTCAATGTACCGGAAAAATGCCTGAAGGGAACGCCAAACGTTAAATTTAAAAACTGCGCCGAATTTTACTCTGCAGAACTACTTAATAAAAAAACCCCCACACAGATTTAAAAAAAAAGTATTACATAAAACAAAATTACAATGAAATAAGCAATATCCCTTAATACAAATATTAATTATCCTAATAAATAAATTAACCAACCTCTCGTTGCCTTCTTTCAACAAACGCCCAGTGTACAAGAGAAATATTAAATTTAAAAACTGCACAGAATAATTGCCCTCATTTTTCCAAGTGGCAACAGTCCATTTTCAACAGTCAGCAGTCTCGTATACAATTGAATGCAAAACTGATGCCAAAACCACATTTCAAAAGAATGAAAGTATTCAAAATGATGCGATAAAATCTAAAAGATAAAATAAAAAATATCTGATTCTAATTTTGAAAAAAATCGCTTCGAGGTGTACTGACTCTTGTCTAGATGCACCTATATACCAAATTTCGTAGCTCTGGGTCTATTAGTTTACGCGCAGCACGAACGAAAGACGCACAGACTTTTTCTTTTATTATATGTAGCGATTACATTTTTCAAAATATTGCGATTTTATGGGATTATATGGGGACTATTGACATTATTTTTAAAGATACAAAATATTTTTTTTATTTTCATACTACTTTGAGCCTTCGCGATGTATTGACTTTGATTTACAGAAAATAAGTCGGGTCTTCCAGGCTAAGGATCTTGCAAAGCTTATATGGGGTATGGATTCCAATATTAAGTCTGAACTGTGGTTTAATTTTTACAGTGATGTTCGAGGAAACAAGCTTGGAGATTTTGTCAGCTCCTATAACTTATATGTGATCAATGAGGACTGCGGCCCTACCTTTTCTTCGGAACAGGGATCAAGCCATATAGAGGTGACAATTATGGAAGCTAATTTGCTAGTGAATGTTACCCGCTGTTGTCTCTCGGACTGTGAATTATTGTCAGACCATGCAATGATTGAATTTGAGTTATCTTTTTCTGTTGCTTCTTTTATTGCTGTCAGTAGATTTTTGTTTACTACAAAAAAGCAAATTGGGGATATTTTGAAAAATATTTTTCATAGTATATTTCTTTGATTATTAATAGATTGGATTCTTGCTCAACTACTGACTCACTTGATGTGATTGTATATTTTATAACTTCAGTTATTTTTCGGGCATGTATTAAGGGCATAGGTCTGACAATCTATGCCTACTAGAAGGACTGGTATGCGAAAAGTACCTAAGTGGTCACTGTAAATTTCCATTATGAGAAAGAGGGTCAACGCTTTCCAGAGGACTACTAGCAATGATATACAGGACTTGTATAAGCGGAAATGCCTTGATTTAAGGGAAAAATACAATGAAGTGCTTCTTGAGGCCAAATTAGAGTCTTGGAGGAAGTTTCTTTCGGATATCAATAATGAGAATGTGTGGAAAAAAATCTACACTTACGGTATTAAAGAAAATTTTATGAAGAAGATTGGCCTTCGGCTTCCAAGCGGTAACTTTACGTCTTCCTTTGGAGGAAACTATCGACGTTATTCTTGATAAAGCTTTCCTCCTGATTGTGTGAGGTTTGATAATGACTTTCATACTCAGTGGCGCTTATCTGCTCGTAGTGAATATGCGTCTCAGATTGATTCTCCTTTTTCGCATGCCGAGGTTGATGATGTTATAAGGTATTTCTCCTAATTTTCTAGCTATGTCGGTATTCCAGAGGTCCTTGGTTCGATTCCCGCCGAAGGCGGTTGGTAATTTTTCATCTCTTCGGCTTCCAAAAGAAATCCTAATGTCTCTACAATGTAATTCGTAATTTAAGGCTTGGCAAGACTCCTGGCCTTGCGATGGGATTCTGTCAATGAAACTATAAGATACTTTCATTCATCGCTTTTTTTTTCATTGTTTTCTTAGATTATGATTAATATATATTTGAATCTTGGTGCTTTCCAGCGAAAGAAGTAACGCCCTCTGTTTATTGTGATACGGAAAGAAACGAAACTTTCAGTGTTCTACACGTGGATAATCTTAGGTGCATCTGTCTTATTTCTTCTTAGGTAAATGTTTGAAAACTAATTACGAACAGAATACTTGGCATCTACAAAAGAAATATTCTTAGGGTGACCAATATTGTGTCATTGCTCAAAATGTACTGAGGGTGCGGTGCTGCGTCTTAGCGAAATTACATAGGGGCAGATAGAGAGGTTTGTAGCAAAAATGCAAAAAGCTTTTCATCTCGACCAAGATATTAGATTTATTTAAATTTGTCAATATATTTTAATTAAACTTAACCATCCAAAAGCCAAGATTATGTATATTGATAGAAAAAATACTACTTATGAAGGATATCAATGCTTTTAAATGATAATCCCCTTGAGAGGGTGAATGAAATTATAAATATTTAGGTGTTTTGTTAGACAGCAAATTAGACTGGAAAAAGCATATTTTCTACATTTCTAATAAATGTGAGAGACTTCAGCATGGGCTGACTCGAATCGCATGTAATAGTTTTGGCGTTAAATCGAATGTTAGCGCAATTAATTATAAACAAGGCATTGTACCCTTTATTTCATATGGATGTAGAGCTTGAGGATTGTCTCTAAAAAGGAAAATTAACTCTAAACGCTTGCTTCGAGTTCCAAAGACTAATTTTACTGCGAGTTATAAGGGGTTACCAAAGTATTAGTTACAATGCTGTTTTCCCTCTTGCCAGATTTCCACCGCTACATTTGTTTATTCTGACCTATATAGATTACAAGAATAGTTTTCCAAAATGCTCCAGTTCACATTTTGATCGTTTTATTGCCTTTGTATGTTCTTCAACATCATTCAACCAGTACAGATTCTGGATAGTATGGACACTGATGTAAATTCATTCTCACTTGTGTTGTATACGGATGGCAGTAGGATTAATGATAAAGTTGGTTTTGCTTATGTTATTTTTGATGATATTGAAATTGAGTACCATCAATTTGCATTAGAAATGAATATACTGTATATGTTTCTGAGCTTCTGTGTATTAATTTTGTAATTAAGTGGATAATTAGCCATGATGGACGTAGTTTCAGCTACTTAATTTGTACGGATTCACTCTCTTCCCTGGAGTCCCTTAAAAATACCTCTTTGTGTAATGATATTATTGTTAATATACAGCAGTCTCTCGGAGATTTGGAGAAAAAGGGTTTTTCAGTGTTTTTTACATTTGTCCGTGGTCATTCGGGTAATTATGGAAATGAGAGAGCTGATTGGCTTGCAAGAATGCAACTAGAAATGATCTTAATGTAATATTTCAAATCTTATTTCAAAAAAATATTCAAAGCTAAAATGATTGAGCAGTGGAACTGTGATTGTATCTCTTCTGATAAGGGATCTGTTACAAAAACACTATTCCTAACTATTTTTGAAAGACTGAAAAGTAAGGCCTTGTTGCTCAAATTTAAAGTTACGCAGTTTTTGTCTGAAAATGGTAAGTTTA